TGATAAATACACTGTAAACAGAAATAAGTCCCCCCCAAAATTAAGCCTTTATAATAATAATAATCATATTTTACTTCTACACTATTTAACACTTCAGAGTCAGTTACAATGTTTCATCTTTAACACTGACAACAAATAAATTACTGTAGGGTCAGTCTGCCCTACCATCTTGGGATCTAAAATTCTAAATGTGTGAAGAGAAGAGTAAATACTTCAACGTTCAATTCTGAAATTTAGAACAATTTATATGACTTGACTACACTGGTCAAAGCAATGACAAACATACAATTCAGTAAGTAGTTGGTTATTTTGCTTTTGGGGGTGGGCAGTCAACAGAGAGTAACATATGGAGTAAGAAAAAAATTGGTTTCCCATTTTAGCAGGGGGAATCACAGGGAAGTTTAAGCCTCTGAAATATATTTCACCTACGTGCTGACATTCAAGATGAAATTTTCAATTTTTTGAAGAGCCCCCATTCTTTCCTTGAGCATCAAACTGATTAGTAGTCACATCTTCAAGTAAAATAACAGTGTTACAACTTGTTGAATGAAATATTAGTAAGGTCAAAAAGACAGACTAAATTTCAAACTAGAAAAAAAAAATCTACTCAAGTTTTACATTCAGTTTTCAAGTCAGTTTACTAACATGACAACAGATTTTGTTTCAATCGCTCTTGTACACACTCACACCCACAACAGGCTCCCCAGCCACTAATCTGCTTTGCAATGTAAGATCATATAGTCAGAGATGGCATTCTCCAAGCCAAACTTTAAATAGATTTTAAAAAGTAATTTCTAATTTTACAGAAATGCTTCTTCAAAAAATATTTTCTCTCACTCCCTCATCTCCTATACTGAAGGATGTATAATGTATTTTTTTTCCTCCAAGCTAAAACTGAACCATCAAAATTGATTCCTGGCAGCAAATCTCTGCAAATTAAAACCAAAAACAAAAATAGAAAAAATATACTTTATATGTGTGGATGGATGAATGGATAGACAGACAGATAGACAGATAGAAATCATCCAGTATTTAAAAATAACATTAGAGATGAATTTTGGGATCCTATCACTCACAACTCCAAAATCCACAATGATTTAAGGACGTACTTTCTCCTGTTTCCTTTCTGGCTACCCTCTCCCCTCCAAAACTGTTCAGTGTAGCCACAGCTCAAGTTTAACGGGAAGAGAAAGAAGTTTTTGAATAGTTTTGTTGTTTTTTACTTTGGTGATCTGGGTGGCACATATTGCTCTTTGCCATTACGTCGTGTCACTCCCTGAGGTATAGCCCTATGATTAAACTGGTATCTCTGTTCCCTGATTTTTCCATCTGCTCCCCTGGGAATGGTATTGCCTCAGAAGCCAGAATAATCCTTACTAGCCCTTGCTTCTAACTTCTCATGTAGTTTCTCAAGGGACTTCTCAGGAGCTTCACTGTCTTCGTTTTTGGTGGGAGACACTACATTGGAGCGAAGTTCCCATAGTGGCTACACAAGAACTGAAGATGGCTCTTTAGGGGGCTTCTGGCAAACTTCAGCATAACCTAACTTTCGGGGTTCCTGTAGAGCCACAGCTGTAGCTGCATTTATGTTACTATTGCATGGTGAAGCAGTACTTGCCCTCAATGGCTTTGTAGTACTTGGAGGAGAAACTGGTATAGTCGTCTGGTTGGGACAATCCTTCTGAACAGAGGAATCCTCTATTAGATCCTTTTTTTGCTGAGTTGTGCTTAATGCAGTAAGCTCAGCTGCACATGAAGAACTGGTACTCATACTGAGTTGCTGGGCAGAAGTGCATTCTGTCTGCTCATCTGCAGGCACTGGGCAACCAACTCTCAATTCTTCATTATCCTTTTCTTTGTAGATGCCTTTAACAACATCAGACATCCTATTCTCCGAAATGAGTTTACCTGGGATGCTTGATGAACTTCCAGGTAAAGGTGGAAAATTTGAAGCTAGTAAGTCAAACTTTGGTGTTGGAGCCTTTGATTCAACTGTTGAAGGATGAGGTCTTGAGATCCTGTCATCTTGTCATCGTCTTCGACCTCTGAAAAGAGTTCTGCCTCTACCATAGTCCCCATTCTGTTCCATCTGCAAAGTGGAAGTCTCCTTTTGAAGTTAAGTTTGCTCCTAATCCCCAGTTACTGTAGGGTTATGCTGTTCAGGTGAAAAATTTCTTGAACTAGATCTTCAATTGTCCATCTCCCAATGACACAGAGTCCTCTGTTGAGTGTTCTGAACCACTGGATGACCTAAAATGAGGCTTCGCAAGATATTTTTTGGAATGGTCGACCCATATTCATAGCAGCAGCATTTGTTTTATAAGATCCTGGTGAATTAAAGCCATTCACAAAACTACCATTGGGAAAGGGCGCCAGTGGTGTTTCAAAGTAAGGTGTAGGATTTGGAGACCAAAACTGAGGAACAATGCTATAGACCGAGCACTGTTGGTGAGGATTATATACAGGCTGCCTAAAGTCTGGGGAGGCATACTGTGCTTGAGTTTGAATGGGCTGGCTATAGATACTAGAATCCATTCATCAGTGACCATTCTTAGCAAAAAACGTTGGTGGCTTTTATCCTTGCCATAATTGGCTCGCCCTGAAATGTTTTAACTTCTTAAGGATTTAAAAGCCTGTTGTGCATCTGTGTCTGACTGGGAAGTGATATACCAGCTGCTACTGTATGCAAATTCACAGCTTATCACTTTGGAGCAGTTTTCAATTTGAACAAAGCTTTCACTTCCTCTATTGGTGTTGTTTCAGGAATCCCTCTAAGAATCACAATACAATGCTTATGACTTGGTCTCACTTTCTCACCCTTCTCATCAACTTGTACCATGGGAGAAGATCTTAACACTTCAATAATTACATCAGGGTCTGTAGTCGACTTTTTTATTTCTTCCAGGTTAACAACCGTCCAAATTGGGATGAACTGATCACTATCCATTTGAGATATCAAGTAAAGATCCTTTGACAAATTTTCTTGTGAAAAACAGAATGCTAATTGTTTCTTTAGACATTCTTTTCGGTCTTCTGTAGAAATTGCTGGATTGTTTTCTCCGGAAACATCACATATTTGGTAACTCAGATCTTCCGGTCCTAAAATCATCCCATCGGTTGATTCTTCAATGCCTGTAGTATTTCTTGTGGTTTCACAAGACGAAGAACACATTACTTCATGTTCTTTACATATATTTTCTGAGAGCTCTGCGTTAACCTCAGGATGAGCACCCGAGGTGGCTGCTGTTTCATGTCAAGAGTTTTCAGTTCCATGAGTTACTGGGGTGGCATCAGCACTCCCAGGAGCAATTTCTTGTCATAGTTTGGCATTAGGACTTAAACCAGCTCCTTCAGATGCTACCTGCTCCACGAAAAGCAACATGTCGTCCTCTGTTCAGCCCAACTGTTCCCACCGCTGCAACTCTAACTGGCTCCAGGCCTGTGCCCCAACAGAATAAATGTTTTAAATAAGTCTTCGTTCTGAAATATTAAAAGGTGTAATACTTTAATAACTTCATTTGCATTATATTTTTTTTTTTTTTTTTTTTTTTTTGAGACAAAGTCTTGCTCTGTCACCCAAGCTGGAGTGTAGTAGCACGATCTTGGCTCACTGCAACCTCTGCCTCCCAGGTTCAGGCAATTCTCCTGCCTCAGCCTCCTGAATCACTGGGATTACAGGCATGCGCCACCACAGCCGGCTAATTTTTGTATTTTTAGTAGAGATGGGGTTTCACCATATTGGTCAGACTGGTCTCAAACCCCTGACCTTGTGATCCGCCCACCTCGGCCTCCCAAAGTGCTAGGATTATAGGTGTGAGCCACGGTGCCCCGCCTTGCATTATATTCTTGGAACAATACTGGAATTTGCACAAGGCTGATATCACTCTAGGTAGACTAGAAAATGTAGGCTTATCCCAGCACTTTGGGAGGCCGAGGTGGGTGGATCACCTGAGGTGAGGAGTTCGAGACCAGCCTGGCCAACATGGAGAAACTCCGTCTCTACTAAAAATACAAAATTAGCCAGGCATGGTGGCTCATGCTTGTAATCCCAGCTACTTGGGAGGCTGAGGCAGGGGAATTGCTTGAACTCGGGAGGCAGAGGTTGCAGTGAGCTGAGATTGCGCCATTGCACTCCAGCCTGGGCAGCAAGAGCGAAACTCTGTCTCAAAAAAGAAAAGAAAAGAAAAGAAAAGAAAAGAAAAATGTAGGCTTAGAAAAAAATTAACAAAACATGCACAGAAGCATCCAGTTCTTAAAGGATAGAGCCTCTACAAACTTAATGTGGCACTTCCAAATCCCTGAGACCTAACTCCCCCAGTTCACCTGTCCACCATGTGTATGATGTGCCTCAGCCTGGTGGTTAAGAGATTAGACATGAATTCCAGATAATGAGAAGAAGAGGCTACATCATGCTGCTTACGTTTTTCTGCACACACATCCATTTTCCCCCATCAATGCTCTTATTATATTCTCCCACTGGTCCAATGTTAGACTGAATTGAAACACTGTGAAGGCAAATGTTCTTCAGAATTGCTTTTAGAATAAAAATATGAAGGAGGATACCTGGGAATTTCCAAAATGACTACATTGAACCTGAACGGTACCAGAATTCTGACAATTACATAATGCCCCAAGAAGAAAACCAAAGGAAACAACAACATGTAGCTTCAAACCAAAACACAAAAGAAGAAATTGAGAAGCACTGTGTTTTTAAAAGACTAAATTTTCAGCATTCACAAATGTAGGTAGGCGAATCGTTCACCGGCTGTTGTGGGGACTCGCACTGCTGTTTCAGGGACTCTCAGTAGAATTGCTTTGGGCTAGGAGTTCATGAAACCCTTCAGACTTCTGGATTTAATGAGCCCACAAATAAGTCTCATGTTGAACTGTCATTATTTTTTGGACCACACTTCATTGTGCAGACGAATTTTAATTGAAGTATTCTTTTCCTCATTTGCTTTTCCATTAAACTGAGTTCTTTTTATTATTATTATTTTTCATTTTTGGAGGGACTGGTTCTTTATTTCAGAAAGACACTTGCCAATATTCAGTATCAAACACAGTTGCACTACTGATTTCTCTTTCTCCCAATCAGCCCCAAAGAGACCACATCAAAGGAGAGTACATTTTAAGCCAATAAGCTGCAGGATGTACACCTAACAGACCTCCTAGAAACCTTATCGGGAAATGGGGACTGGGTAGGGAAAGAAACTTTAAAAAAACAAAAAGATCCGCAAGCTGCCAGTCCACAGACTGCAGAGGCTGTCACAGCCAGATGGGGTGGCCAGGGTGCCACAAACCCAAAGAAGCAAAGTTTCACAATAATATAAAATTGAAAAAGTATTGTACACAAGCTATTCAAGATTTCTGCAGCACTGACTGATACAAAGCACAATGAGATGGCACTTCTGGAGATAGAGACAACAGCTTCGAACCCAGAAAAGGGTAATGAGATGAGTTTCACATGGCTAAATCAGTGGCAAACACACTCTTCTTTCTTTCGACAAGGCAGGAAAGCATTTAAATGGTCACCTCGACATAAGGGGGACATGATCCATTCTGTAAGCAGTTGGGAGCGGGTAGAGATAGGACAAAAATGTTGTCTCAGAGGTATTACCATCTTAATTTGGTGACTTCTAATGAAAAAAAAATAAAAAAATAGAAATAACATGCAAAGATATCTTAACGCTGAAAACCTGAACAGCACATTTTTTGTTGTTGCTGTTTGGCCAACTCCTCCCGGAATCACCTTTCTGGTTTGGCTAGTACTTTGTAGAGAGCAATGAGGTTTCCCACAGGGGAGTCTCTCTGGGCTCTGTCTGGCTCTCAGTAAGGCAGGCCTATACCTTTTCCTCTCCTCTATGGAGAGGAGAATATGCATTAAGGTGAGAAGTCACCTTCCCAAAGTGAGGAAGGGATTCGATTGCTGCTTCAGGGCTGTGGAATTATTTGGAATGTTTTATAAATGGTTGCTACAAAACCACAAAAAAGGTAATGACAGAATGTGTATATCACAACATGCGTTTTAAAGACATTATGCATTGTGCTCACATTCCCTTAAATGTTGCTTCCAAAGGTGCTCAGCCTCTAGCCCAGCTGGAATCTCCGGGAAGAGGCAGAGACAGTTTGGCGAAAAAGACGCAGGGGAGGAGGGGATGGTGGAAGGAGAAAGCAGCTGTCCAGTTAAAGATCAGCCCTCAGTTAAAGGGCAGCTTCGGGCAGGCTGGCCTCAGGTGGAGTCAGGGTCAGAGGGAGGAGCAGCAGCAGGGTGGGACTGGGGCGCTCTACATCTCAATCAGGTCAAGCAGAGTCTGGTCCAACATCCTTTGTCTACAGAGGTGCTCCTCTGGTACATTTTCAGTTTATCTTCCAAGTCATCCATCATATCATAGCTTGGCTACCGATCTCTCAGCAAACTTAATACAGGTCTCTTCTTGAGTTTATCAGCAAGAATCTTGATCTCTTCCTCATATTTGTCTTCTTTTTGAGAGTACTTTTCTTCAGCGGCACTCAGACACTGCAGGTTCTAGACCATCAGTCTGATCTGCTCATCCATCTCTCGGCAACAGGACTCCGCCAGCTCAGCTCATTCCTCTGTGCGTTCCAAGTCTCCTTCAATGATCACCAACTTACGGGCCGCCTCTTCGTACTTCCTACCTGCCTCTTCTGCCATGTGCTTAGCTTCTTTGAGTTGGATTTCCTGGAGTTCCATCTTTTCTTCATCTTTTAAGGCCTGGTTTTCAATAACCTTCATACCCCTCTCACTCTCATCAGCAGCTTTTTCTGCTTCTTCCAGCTTTTGCAGGGCAGTGGCCAGGCGCTCCTGAACATGGCCCAGCTCCTCTTCAACTAGCTGGATCCTACTGTTCAAGGAGACCACCTCAGCCTCAGCCTGTTCCCGGGCCCGCCTTTCTCCCTCAACTTCTCACCGGAGGCGCTCAGCTCGCTCCTCTGCATCATCTGCCTGCTGCTGAACCTGGATCTGGCGCTTTACCGCCTCGATGGTGGTGATCCCAGCCATGGTGCCCACCCAGCTACTGCTCGCACTCCGGTTCCTGCCTCCTCTGCTCGGCGTTGCAGCCGCCTCTCCAAAACTGAGTTATTTAAGACAGGGAATCCCTTTTTTTTCAATCTTTGTATCTTTTTAACTTTACATCATCAATAGTTAGCATAGTGACTTGCATATATTAGCCTTTCAAGAGATGACTTAATGAAGAATGACCCTCCTCCTCTCATTTCCTAACACCCGCGTACCAAACACACACATCCATTTTAAGGGGAAATATAAAAACACTGCAACTCACAGACACAGCAAATGAACGTGCATTGAGACAACATGTGAACACGTAACAGAGATGCCATTACTAAAGGAGATGTTTTGCTTCCAAACACTGTGGTGCCTAATAATTAGTGACTTTAAGCTTCGCAAGAAGAATAAGAGAATGTGTGCTACTAATTGATTTTTAAGTCTTAGAAATTTTAGCTATATCAAATACAGAACAAAAACCTAGTATGTTTTGGCCTCTGCTTTCATTTTGATAAAATGGCTACAATATCACAAAATTCAAGCAACCAACTGTTACCTTTTTAAGAGATATCAACAAATAGTGAGATTGATGGAAACTTTTTCTCAGGGAAAAGATGTTCGTGTCCAGACTAAAAATAACGATGCCTAAAAAGAGCTCTGTGACCTGTTGATTATATAATCAGTGACCTCTCCCTAACCCAACCCTCTATCTTTACAGCATCCAGGAAGATAATGCAGACCAGTCATTGCAGGAAATCTGTAAAAGCCACGTACAAGTCCTGACATAGTCAGACCAAATCCAGAACCAGGGAAGGAAAGACACTCAGTAGCATAACATGCCAAGCTTACTGAAAGGTTACATGACTCACCAGCAATCAGTAAGGCACACACTTTAAAACGGCTCTGAATATGGTGAGAAACTTGGTTTCATGCAGCCTCACTCTGATCTTATTTCCTAGAAATCCAATCTGATAAAACTCAGCCTGTCTATCTCTACATAGATGGGGTGAGGATCGGTTACAAGGGAGAGAAAATACAATCCCAAATTAACTACGGACTATACAGTACAGAAATGTTTGTCTTTCCCAGTAAGATTTGTCTCCTCCACCATAGCAATTTTGCTCCAGGAAGTCCTTGGGACCCAGGCTCCTGTCAGCTCACCATTCTATCAGCCCACGGTTAAGACTGTGGCACGTGCATTCCAGACAGCAAGACTGCGAAAGGATCTTGAAGAAGAGAGACAAGGGCTGTCTCTTAAGGAAGGCTCCACATAAAATGAAGCTGCCACATAAAACTTATGCTTACTCTGCAACAGCCAGAATTCAGTCCCATGGCCGTGAGCGACACAAGGACGCCTCTGTTCTTAGAAGTCATGTTCTGGTCAAAACTGGAGGATTCTATCACACTAGAAGAACGAGAAAACAGACACCTGGGGAAAACTACATTTTCTATCATGGGAACAGCACTCTATCCAAGTGAACTCAACAATCATAAATGAAGCTGCTATATAACTCTGAATAATGTACCATGGCTAAAAGTTGTCTTGATTCACTTCACTTATTCAATAAATTTAAGCCATTTTAAACTCCTACTATATGTTATTCCGTTGTTATCTCTAATAATTATGAACTTCATTTCACAAACACCATTGGTGAGTAACAGAGTGTAGGGCTAGGGATACCACCAAAAAAACAACTAGATATTCATTTGATAAAAGGCAAATGCCTTGCTGATGTTTTCAGTTCAAGACACAATTAATTCCGTTTAGTAAACTATTTGCCAACTTTAGGAATAAAGTATTTGATTCCCAAAACACAAACGTTCTTTCTCCTATTCTCTTTCAATATAATGACAAAACTAAGAAAATTTTTAAAGCAGCTGATTTTATGAGGTATGGACATTCCATTTCCATAGAGATGCAGGTATACCTAGACTCACTCAACCAACGCATGATAATTTTGTATAAGTTTCCTTCTCAGTCTCTCTTCATTTCATTAAACTCACCAATGTATATTAAACAGCTACACATTTAGAAGCCTCTCCAAATAGATGGTTAGTTCACTTATTCAGTATTTCAACAAATATTTATCAAGCACCTGTCTGTTAACAACTTCGATGTGCTGGAGAGTGGACTCTCAAAAGCATATGTGGCACAGGACTCAGTCTCCCCAAGAGTTTTATATTCAAAAGACATTGCTTCTGGTAAGTAGAAAACACAGTTATTCTCAGAACTAAAGGACTCCCTACTGTCTATCTGAGTATTGTCAATAGCTAACCAGTTCAGTCAGAACAGATTCTCCAACTGTACCTAAACAAATTGCCAAGAAGTGCTAAATCCTCCCCCAAAAAAAGCCTTGTTATAATAAGTTCTTTCAAATAACTTGTCAAAAAGGATCTTACTACAGCATGGTATGCAGATAATTTGGGTAATATAACGCTAAGAGAATGAGTCAGAAGCATCATCACTCTTGTAACTTTGACCCTGAATTTGGTCTAAAACTTCTATGCATTTTTAGTGGCATGTGAGAACAGATGCTATAACACCTGAAAATGGCAAGACTTAAAATTCATAGTACCACAAAACCATTACTCTTCCCCCTAGACCCTTTGAACTTTAATAATGTCTGACCTGGTTGGCCAATAAGTTCAAAAAGCAGACAGAAGAAAATTGCCAATAGTAAATATTGCTGGAATGATTTTTCATTTAGAAAGATGTTACAGGTTCTCTTAAAAACAGGTCACCAATTCTGTGGACACTTAATTTTCTTAAGGGAGTAGCCATTGCAGAGAGCAGGTACCCACTTTTGTTTATGCAAATAGAATCTAGCTGACAACTAGATTCATATATTCTTATTATCACTTACACATAAAGCAAACAAAAATAGACACCCACATACACACACACATAGTTATATATAAACCCATCCAAATCAAAGATAAAGTGTGGCTAAAGAAGTGGATGTGAAAGAAAACTATTCTTTTTTTCCCAAGATAAATGGCACAAACGCCAACATCTCATTAACTATCCAAAGAAAATGATACACTACACAACTACGTCTAGATAATCATACATTAATAATTTTCACATTACACAACTGAAAAGATTTATAAAGGCACAATTTAAGAATCTACCTTGCTTAAGTCACTTAAAAGAAGCAAAGTGACAAGAGGAACAAGCAATTAGGTACTTCTCTACAACACCACAATTCAAAGTGACTTCCTACATGCCCCTTGCTTTAGTCGAATATCATTTCAACATGCAATTATCCCTGTGCTTTGATGCAGTTGTCATCTGTTTTGTTTTTAATGCAAATACCTACTTACTGATTAAATATTTCCTATATTATAGTTTGTGAACCATTTCTCGTATTTTGCTGATAAACTACTTTAGCAAGATAGCCAATCTTTGAGACCCCTGAAATAATATTCAGCCAGAGGAGCTCTAAGGTATATGCCCTACTTTGATATGTCAGAGACCTAAAGCATGTGGTCACATAGAGAGCTGCACAAGGGAGAAGCTCTCATCTTTTCTCTGTCAGACTGTAGAAAGTTTCCTTTCACAGCTTTACAAAAACACCAGCCTCCAGATTGGCAGGGCATTATCCTGGCACTACATCCTTCTTAAAAGCTTAACACATCCTGTGTGAAAAACAGGAGCTCTTTCTATCCACATGGACACACTGGAGCTCCAAGACAGTAAGTAACTTGCCGAGGGCCATGCTCTTAGCACTGCAGCAAAACTGGCTTTGGAAGCCAGATCTCCTACCTGGTCTGGATCCCCAGGCCTGTATCTTCTGGCCCAGGAAAGGTGATGGTCTCTTCCCAGCATTCAGCTAAAGAAATACATTTCATAAACCATATCTGGTTAATCACTTTGTAAAAGCAATAGAACTGAATTTAAGTTTTTTTCTCAAACTCCTGGCTTCAAGTGATCCTCCTGTCTCGGTCTCCCCTTTAAAGTGCTGGGATTACAGGTGTGAATCACCATACCCGGCCCTTTAAGTTTTTTCATTTTAAGTTGATAGATCCCTGATTCTTTACAATTATAGTTATTTTTTTAAATAATATTTTTACTGGTTTGCTCAAGTTTTTATTTTTAGCACTTTACTAACATCGTTCCTATCAAATTGTCAATGTAGATGATATGATCAAGATATAATAGGCCAGGTACGGTGGCTCACGCCTAGAATCCCAACACTTTGGGAGGCCAAGGTAGGAGGATACCTTGAGAACAGGAGTTCATGACCAGCCTGGATAACAAAGGGAGACCCCCATCTGTAAAAATAGTTTTAAAAAATAGGCCAGGCATAGTGGTTGCACACCTGTGGTCCCAGGCTACTTAGGAGGCTGAAGCAGGAGGATCACCTGAGCATGGTGAGGTTGAGGTTGCAGTGAGCCAAGATCACGTCACTGCACTCCAGCCTAGGCAACAGAACCCGACTTTGTCTTTTAAAAAATTTATATATATATATATACACACACACACACACACATATATACACACATATATACACACATCTGCTCCATATAGAGATACTTGTATAAAACTTTAAATATATATATATTTGTGTATAACTTTAAAAGGCAAAGTGAGAAGGAGAAAATAGTAAAAGCATGCCTAACTTTTAAAGTTATATTCAGGAGATTCCGGAGATTGCTTGCCAAGTTTTTTTTTTTTTTTTTAATTTAACACATTGTCTAAAGACAAACAACTTTTACCAAAACAATGTATCGAACAATAAGAACTTCACTAAAGAGTGATAAAATTTTCCTTATAGGAAGGTTACAGATATCTCTATTGATCTTCTGTAGCTTCCTTCTGGAAGTAAGATCCTTATAAAAGAATAACTCAAGGACACCATAAATAAAGTAAAAAAAAAGAACCAACACACTAGAAAAAAAATACTTGCAAATCACATATATGAGGCTTGTATCTAGAATATGTAAATAACTCTTACAACTCAATAATAAAATGACAACCTAATTTAAAAATGAACAAAGAATGTGGATAGACATTTCTTCAAAGAAGATATACAAATAGCCAATAAACACATAAAAAGATTCCCAACATCATTAGTTATTGAGAAAATAGAAATCAAAACCACAGTGAGATACTACTTCATACCTACCAGGAAGGCTATAATCAAAAGGACAAAATATATAAGTGTTACTGAGGATTCTGAGAAATTGAAACCCTCATACATTCCTATGGGGAAATGTAAAATCATGCAGCCACTTTGAAAACTAGTTTTATGGTTCCTCAAAATGTTAAACCATATGACCCAGAATTTGTGCTCCAAGGTATCTACCCAAGAGAAACAAAAACATATGTCAACACAAAAATTTATACATTAATGTTCATAGAAGCATTTAATCATAATAGCCCAAAACGGGAAACAACAAAACGTCTACAAACTAATGAAAGGATAAACAAAAGGTGGTATATTGCTACAATGGATTTTTCAGCAATAAGAAAGAATGAGACAACATGAATGAATCCCAAAAACATTACACTAAGTTAAAGCTAGTCATATTGTATAATATCAATTACACAAACTGTCCAGATACGCAAATCAATAGAAACCGATAGTAGATTAGAGATCGCCTAGGACTGAGCTGAGCAAGTATGAGAATGGCGAGCCATGCCTGACGGGTACTGGGTTTCTTTTTGGGGTTGTAAAATATTCTGTAATTAGATAATGGTGACGGATGCACGAGTTTGTGAATACACTAAAAGTCAATGAATGTACGCTTAAAAAGGGTGGATGTTACAGTATGTGAATTGTATATCCATAACAGGTTATAATTGAAAAAAGAATACTTACATAACATATAATACACTTAATTTTAAATTAGAATGAAGGAAGGAAGGAAGGACAGAAGAAGGAATAAAAGGAAGTTAAGGAGGAGGGAGGGAGGGAAAGAGAGACACACACACAGATCTCAAAGAAGTCAGTCTTTGAGACGCTTCTAGTGGAACCAGGCTCCAGATGGAATGCAGTCACATGCACATTAGGTCATATGAAGTAAGCTATTTTATTTTACATATTGTATCAGAAAACTTAAGGCATGTTTCTTTAAACTAATCAATTGGATATTTCTCACAGCTTATTTTAAATACTGTAAAGTTACCTCCTCGTATTCTCCTGTGAACTACATCATCAATGTTCTTCATGTTTTATTTTCCTGACACACCAGATAGGATGTTATTTCCATTGAACACAATCCTGGTCTTCAAACTATCCACATGATTCAAGCATGCCACTTCCCACTGATCCAACAATTTGGTAAGATATTATAAGACTGGAAACAATGGAGAGGAGTGGAAGATCTTTCCAGTTCATGTTCATAAGTACCCAGCATGATTACACCTACTGTTCACAGATTTCCAGTGACACTTAAAATTTTAACAACGTACTTTTCCAACCTCACAAACATAGGGACCAAGAAACAACTGTCACAAGTACCACTGATCAACCCAGAAAATGCCACCAAAATGGGAGGAGAGAGTTAATAAATCAACTCCTACTGCTTTAAACTCCAATTCAAAAGTCTCTCTGTGACTTCCAACCTGTTTGGGTTAATCCCTAGACAGGTGGCAACCTTACCAGAGTAAATGAACCACCCCCTAATTGTACAAAAAGAGCTTGCTGGTAACTGACAGGAATACAGCTAAATATGACTGTGCCCTTAGGGAATATAAAATTTACATAACCCTCTTAGAGGTTAAGGGAATAGTGACTTCTATAAACAGAGATTTTAATTTAACAGAAAACATTTTAAAATAAAGTTTAGGTATACAGCCTTTTAAGGAATTGGAACAGACATCATAAGCAGGTAAATACAGAGCTGCTGTGGGAGGAAATTACATTATCCAAGACTGTTTTTACCCAGAAGCTTTTTAACCTTCATCCTGTATGGCTTATTTTGGATGATTTTTCAGCCAGATAATAAAAAGCAATTTCATTTAAGTGCTGCAGTCACAGAGTTTACCGCGTGAAATCCTTCTAAGCTTCCTTTCCACATCTCTTTGCGGGCACACCTCTAGCGTCCGTTCATTCTTTGGGAAGCATACTTTCCTCTATGCGTGCGCAGAGTCCCCCAGAAAATATCCCAAACTTCATTCCCCTGTTCTCGTTCACTTCAAGAAGTGGTCAGCTTTGTGGAAATGTGGAAGTCGGACTTTCGGTCATCTTTATAAGCCAAAAAGTGTATTTGTTCCTTTTCCATTAAACAGAACAGAAATCACATGGGAGGCAGTATGTCTAAAATAATGAATCAAAACTTTGAAAGACCCATGCTCAGAAACATATTCATATTCTACGTATTTATATATAAAATATATGTAACACTACACATGCATGATGCTTTTAAAAAACCAGCATCAGGGTTATCTGCTGTGACTTTGTATCAGCGGAGAGAAGGAGGCAGATGGAATTCTGGAACATGAGTAAGATAACACTCATGTCAAAACAAAAAACAAAAAAAAAACTCCTTGTCCTCAAGCATGCTAATGAAGCAAGTGATAAGCTATAGGTCAAATTCCCACTTCTACAATCAAAACTTATCATACAAGCTCTTGAAAAGGGAGCGCATCTGTCATATGTTAATGACTTCAAGCCATTCACTGAACTTTTAGGTGTATAGGAAAACTTAAAAGCACTTCACAACTCCTTGTGGGTATAATTAGCCTGTTGGAATTGTTGGCAATTCTCATTCTGGGACTTTAAAAGGTCACTCCACTCTTTAAGATACCAAATTTGGAGGTACTCTCCCTTCTGGACAGATTAGGCACACCCTGCAATTAGCATACACAGCTGCACCTGTTGCAAAGCCTTCACTGATGTCAATGGGGACAGTGAACGACATTCTAAATTCTTGAGGGATTATTAGACCTTGGAAACCAAGTGTTGAACAAATCTGATGTCTGCTATTGAGGTGATGGATGGTGGTCACACTCTGACCACATACAGAAGCCACAATTTTTATTCTCTATAGACAATTCCAGCTAACACGGAAACCTCATCACTCGACTCTCTCAATCCTGTAAGCAGTCAACATGCAATTTTGCTATTTAACAGAACTAAGTTTTAACAGAACTAAGTTTTTCATAATCTAGTTGAGTTTCTACAAAGAACAAAGAGAATTCCAGATTTAAAAAAAAAAATACAAGTTACAGAAACAGCATTATTGATTTACATAAACTTTACTAAAATCATAGAGAAATAAAAATGTTGCTGGTCACATAAGGAGAAAAGTTTTTGCAGTTTATAAATTTGTAGGTCAAAGCTACTCAAATTCTTCTTTAATCTGTTAATCCTTTACAAAAGTATTATACACACTGACAATGATAGCGATTTCACTGCTAGAGTACAAAATAATAATATAGCTATTTAAAAGAAACGCATTTAGGAAAGAGGCATGAATTTAAGAAATCAGATTTGAAGTTTGAGAAAGTCTGACATAACTGTCATTAAACAGTAGTTAAATCTTAAACATAAAGCCATAAATTATGTCCTTCCTTACTTCCTTCTTCCTTCTGTCTTTCCGTTCTTTTTTAATGAAAGAGAAGCACAGGGGACAGGGGTCTAAATCCCCCTTTCTCTTTAAACCACGTGAATCTTAGATATTTTCTACGGTAGGAAACACAGTTCTTTGGCAGCTGATATATGTGGACACATAAACAAAAAGAAATACCGTAAAGCCATCTTAAACTAAGATATCGTGCGTGGTAAATCTATTAAGCAAAGAGCCTCT